CTTGAGATTTCTAAGTATTTCAATTAAAATATGAAAATGATTTTTAGATCAAAAGATAATATGTCAAAAGTAATGATTGGGCAAGTAGCAAATGGGTTGGACGGGCATCGCTTAGAGTCGCCATTTATGCTATTAACTCTTGTGCAATTAAAAGGTCCTAAAAACACTTAAAATGCTTATTTATAATATACGAATTGAAAGCTATTCAGTTTAAACAACTCGAATTATTTTTTCTTTATTCCCCTATTCACGCTCGTCATTTAGATGATGCTACTACATCCAACTCCAGCCCAGCGCGTGAGCATTCGCGAGGAGCTGCGCGAGCCCGAGGATCCAGCAGACATTGAGCGCGACATTAAGCTGATTCGCGAATGGCTGGAAACTCAGCCCCATCTGCCGAAAGACATGGACGATATGCGTCTGACGACCTTCTTGCGCGGCTGCAAGTTCAGCCTGGAGAAGGTGAAGAAGAAGCTCGATATGTACTACACGATGCGCAACGCGGTGCCCGAGTTCTTCTCCAACCGCGACATCAATCGCGAGGAGCTCAACATTGTGCTGGACTATGTGTAAGGGATAGTCAACGGAAATCATTCGATAGACCAGCCTAATGACTCTCTCATTCTTCCAGCCACTGCCCCACATTGCCAGGCATCACGCCCAACGGACGTCGCATTACGTTCATCCGAGGCATCGACTGCGATTTCCAGCCCCACCATATTCTGGATGCCATGAAGGTGGCCCTGATGATCGGCGACATCCGCTTGGCGGAGGAGTCGGTGGGCATTGCTGGCGACATCTTCATTTTGGACGCAGCTGTCGCAAGCGCCTCGCACTTTGCCAAATTCTCCCCGACGGTGGTGAAGAAGTTCTTGATCGCTGTGCAGGAGGCGTATCCCGTTAAGGTGAAGGAGGTGCATGTGATCAACATTTCGCCGTTGGTGGACACCATCTTCAACTTTGTCAAGCCCTTCGTCAAGGAGAAGATCCGCAGCCGCATCACCTTCCACAACGATGTTGAGAGCCTCTACAAGGTGGTGCCACGCGAGCTGCTGCCCAACGAATACGGCGGCAAGGCCGGACCCATTGTTGAGCTCAACCAGTGGTGGAAGAAGAAGCTGGCCGACAACACGGAGTGGTTCAAGCAGCAAGAGGACAAGAAGGCCAACGAGTCACTGCGCCCCGGTGCACCAAAGACTACCGATGATCTGTTCGGCATGGAGGGCACGTTCCGTCAACTAAACATAGATTGAGACTACAATTATACCCAATATGTTTCATATGTGCATCTTATATATATTCTTATCTTATATTAACCACTCACCCATTTTATTGCCCATTCACATTTATATTGTTCGCTTTTCGCTTCATTCCCTATCTATGTACTGCATGTTGACTCCGCCCCAAAATGCAGTAATTACAATAAAGAAACCACAGCATATTAAGGAATGAATATAAATCGTTAAACTCGTTTCAATTTATGTATCAGATTAGATTGGAATATATGAAGTGGGAACATAGGGTGGCAAAATGTCTAAAATACAAATTACTAGGTACATATGTATGTGAAACCTTTGTCTACCTAGGGAGTCTAGTGTGAAATTATACTTTAAAAGTTTACAGAACTTCGAAAAAGTTATAATGCAAATTAATATAATTATAAAGCTAGAGAAAAGAGATTTATTATTAATACTGACTCACACATTTAAAAGAGTATATTAGTATCACTATCTCTTCACATTTTCATATCAAATAGTCAATATAGATCGAATATTTT